TAAGTTCCGGGCACGTCGCCAGATAACAACACCCCGTCGCTTTTACAATATTTTAATTAGTACTATAATTACAGCTGGTTGTAAATTCTTATACTCGTTTTCCTTGGGCGGCCTAAAAAAGCTTTGTTTTCAGTTTTATTAAAATACCTGCAGTAACCTCGACACAAAAAGAAAACGGGATAAGTAAATGTAACACTGAAAAGATTATGGATTTTATATTCATTTTTTATAGCACAAAGTACTATCATATTTCTGCGTTTTTATTCAGAATTTTTCCTATGAACATACAAGAGTAAAACTGAGACAAAAGCTAATTTAAAATAGTAAAAAGGCGTAGGTACATTTATTTTTATTTTTGTTACAAGTCCCAAATACAGTTTTATTGAATTGGGTCGTTGCACATATTTTTTTATTGTATATTCTGAATGTTTTATGCTTGCTTTGCGCTCATTGGCTGTTTGAATGTCGATAATGCAGATTACAGATCTGTTTTAAGGTTATATATTGGTGTTTGTTTATTTTAATATTTTCTTTTAATATCTGTGTTCTGTACATACAATAGAGTTTTTGCAAACTCATAAAAGTAAAAAAACCCAAAAACTCCGGATGCAACGACCCTATTCTTAAGTAGCTATTTTCGGGAGCGTAGTACAAAAAAGACTTTTTTAACATTTATAAAAACAATAGCTAAAAACGATTTATTAAAGTTACAGGTTTAAGTTTAAAGATTATAGAATAATTTCTTTCGTTTCGTTGCTTCCTACTTAAAAAAGTTTTTTTTTAATACCTGTCTAAAGCATTAGAACAGTATTGTTTGCTTCAAATTTTCAGGTGGTAATGACCACTTGATAAATCAAAGTAAAAATTTCAAAGTATTTGTGTTTTGTTTATTTTTTATTTATTATTAATAAAAATGTCTAACTTTTGAACAGCTTTCTTTTTGCTGTCGACTTTATCTGTGAAAGATTATCAGTAGCGGATGCGAAGGAGTTCTCAAAGCAATTACTTAATAACTTGGCCAAGTTTTTCTGAATACATTCGTATATCTTCAGCCAGTTATCATAAATCCAAATCTAACACAAATCGAAAGAATCAGTTATCCTGATGAAAAATAACGAGGCGTGGTTACGCTTCGTCATGCTAACAAAAAAATTACTTGTTTAAGGTTTGGAACGGATATATATTTCAACTAAATCTGTATTTTTTCCATTAGATTTAATATTCGAAATTGAAGTAAATGTATCTCCAAATCACTGATAATCTCTTTCAAACTTTTGAAATCTCAACTGATTTATTGCCCATGACGGACACATTTTAAATATAACTCGACAGGTTACGTTCCGGGTCTCAATATTCGGTTATCAAATCTGAAACTTGCCACTTTCATACCTTTCACATTTCGGAATACTCCTACAATATAAAACGTATCTCTTCGACTGATAGCTGTATTGAATAATTATCTAAATTTCTATATTGTTTGTGTTTTGAGACGTTTTTTGCTTGATTATATGAATAAGAAAAAACCTAAATCTTGATTGCAGTCTGACACAAAATCCGTTTAACAGCGGTAATTTTATGTGGCTGGAAGATGCCTCCCGGACGTAATGATACCTACTCAAGTCGAGCAAATCATAAATCAAGGGTTTTGCTACTAAGAGCGAAGGGAGTGTTTTGGGCTGCTGTAATTTTTGGTATTAAATATTTGGACACTCAAAGCAAAAATTCTTCTGTTATTTATAAAAAAAAACTTTAATAAATAAAAATTGTCAAGGAATTATAAGTGATTCAAAACAAATCAATAAACAAAGTCAAAAACATTAATTCCTAATAATTATTTACAATAAGTAAAATATTCTATTATTAGAGTTTCTATTATAATAATGACCAGTTATGGAAGAATTGAGTTAAATTATTGACAATACATGTTGTAATTGTTGAAAATAAATATTAGGTTACATTTGTGGTTATTACTCTAATTGTAAGGAAATTATCATTTATAAAACTTGTTATACGAAAGAGTAATTTCTCACTACCTGTCTAATAACAGCGACCACAGTAGTTTCTAACAGAACGTTAGAATGAAATGACTTTAATAAAAGAGAACTGAAACTTCCAACTTATGTAGCATAAAAAAACTATTCAATTGATTATCCTCTAAGACTTGTAAAAAACTGTAGGTACACTCAACCATTATTAAATATTCTTCATACACCAACTACCGTGTCGTTTAAATTACAAACATGACGTAAATAATACAATAGCGTTTGTTAAAAAGAACTTATAACAAAGGATATCCTAAGCAGGGCCGGATTACCCAATAAGCTTGGGGCGCCAGCGCGAGTAAGATGCATCCAATAAATGGAAATATATATTTTGTGATAAATTATAAATAAATTAGCTTTTGAGTAAAACAAAAAAAAAATCAAATTATAACAAAATACGATAAAACTCACAGTGTCCCACGTAAGATTTTCAAGTCTCATATCTCTGGTCTTTGCCAACAGGTTTTTATGAAATTTAAAATGTAGACAACTTAGAAGGTGGAAGTTTAATTAGTATTAAAATTAAGCGAAACTATTATTATATTGTTTAGTACTAAAAAAATTGACCTCTATACAAATTAACTAATTTCTGAAATAATTTTATCAACTCTTCCAACCACTGTATAGCCGCCCATGTTTTTGCATATTCAGTGCCTTTTAACAGTTTTATTCTTTTTTTTAAGCGGAACCTTATTCAAGAACAGATGTTTGCTTATAGCATTTTTTATTAGCGATAAACAATTTGATATAAACTTTACATAAATTGATATAAATTTTTAGTAAGTAATTTAGCAATTTTAAATGGCATGTTAAAATAACATTTTAGGAACTAGGCTTGTTTTGGTAATACGATATTAATCTCTACCTTCTAAGAAATCTATATTTTAAATTTCGTTAAATAATAGAGATATTAGTTAAATTCAAAAGTCTTAGATGAAAAAGCCTGTATAGTGGCAACCACTGTGTCAAATCTAAAAATCATGTTAAATAGAGAGAGAGATTTTTTTTCTTGACAAGATACAGTACAATGCAATACAAATAACAAATAATAAATACTAATTATACAATATAAATCGAAACAACAAAAAGGAAGGGGGCATGGGCGCTGACTTTTCGTACTTTAAATGGGTGCATAAACAAAAAATTGATATAACTTGCAGGACTTGAGAACAATTACTCAAAAATACGATTTCTTCTTCCCTATGTTTACTGAATTGATTGTATTTAATATTAATTTATAAAATTTAAAAACAATACCTATAATTTTTTGTATTGTCCAAAAAAGATCAATAAATAACAAATGCAATAAAAAGTGTAAAGGAAATAGTACATGTTCAAAGTTGCAAAATGCTTCAAATTGTTGAGTTTTAAAAAATAATACACAACTGTTAAATTAAAAAAAAATCGGAAACAATTACTATTATTTTTTTACCTTAAGCAAGATGCCCCGTATCCATTAAAAAATTTCAATGGGTGCATCCGCCCCAATGCACCCATGTAATCGGCGCCCATGGAGGGGAGCCGCAACGGGGCATCGACCGGAGTCCTTCAGCATGTTAAATATTTAACAAAAAATTCGAATTACAATGAACCTACTTAAAAATACGTATATTAAAAGAATAACTACTTAATTGCCTTACATTTTATTTTAATTGGAATACGTAAATTATGTAAAATTAGTGTAACGAAAAAATTGTAAGTTGGGTGTCATAAGATTATGGTAGGTACTCCCACAACCGTAATCAGGTCCTGATCCTAGCTAAAACTAACAAAATTGCTAATTTTCGTGTAGACAACCTTCTACATTTGAATATAATTTGGTGAATTAATTTCCACGCATTTATTAATTATTATTCACCATATGAGTATTCAGACAGTGGCGTGTCCTAAAAGTTATCTTACAAAACACAGTGATCCATAATGAGTTAACTTCCTCTGACTTTAAGAGTGTCGAGATATTATTGTACCCTTGTCTTATGAGCGAGTTACAAATTCTTAATTTGAAATTATGTATGCAAGGAGTTTACGGTCTTGCGAATTAAAAATTGACCTGGTAGAAGATTGCAAAGATAGTGTAACCGAGGAAAAAAACTCATAGAATTATTATTTTATTTTGTACTCAATTTTAAAGAGTGCTTTTATCAACTAATTTCAGTAGATAAAGTAGTCTTTATCTACTGTTTATATTCAAGAAATTCTGGTAGGTGAGTACAAAATAAAACGAAACATACACGACGATAAAGATTGTTTATCTACTCGTGAAAAAAGTTCACTCGCGACTTCGTCACTTGTAAACTTAACCTTTTCACTCGTAGATAAACAATTTCTTTATCGTCTTGTATAATAAATAACAAAAAAACTTATTTACTTTAAAAAAATTTATTGTTCGAAAAAATAAGAAAATCATTTCTACGGTAATGAAATTCATGGTTTTGACACTGTTATTATTTGATTTCGTTTTGTCTTAGTTTTTGTCAAAATTAATTATAATCACTTCCAACAAAACGAGTTTCAATGGGTTTGATTTGTGTTTTCTTGACTTGTTTCTAAAATATGGCTGTAGATCGCAAATATTAAAATAATTAGTAAATTGATTGTCGTGTTAAAACACCGCCTATCGTCGTGAAAATGTATTGTAATTCTTATAATTCTCTGTGATCGTTAAATCCACACTTTTTATAATCAAAATAACGCTACCTTTTATATCATTTCGTCAACAGGGTAACAATTTTGGTAGCAACCCGCACCAATATCCAATGACGTCACATGCACAAACCAGATTATAAAACAAACAATTTATTTAAGTTTAACAGCAACTACGACTTTAAATGTCTGTAAATATCAAGAGGCTAGGTTGTAATTTGATAACTGGAAATGCTGAATAGGTATGTTTTGCTGACAAGGAATAAAAAGTGTAGCCACAATAAAATTGTAACTAAATAAATGTGCTTCATAAACCAAGTTTATTACTCACAAAATTCTACATTAAATGATAGAACATTTCTTATACTGGGTGGTCCAGAAGTCTGAAAACGATTTTGTTCTGAAGAAACTATCATTTTTTTTGCCAAATAAATTTATAGGTGTGCAAAGTACAGTATATTTTAGTGTTAAAAATTTACTAGTCCGGCCCTGACATGCTATCGAATAATATTTGCAAATTAGCATTAATGAGTTCATTCAATTTGACTAATGTCTTCAATTCTCTTTATTAATTTGTTGTAGAACAGTTGTTTTAGAAACAGTTAGAAACATGAAAAGTCAAATAACAGAATTTTTCGAAAACCAAACAGTTTTTTTAACTGGCGGAGGAGGCTTTTTAGGTAAAGTATTGATTGAAAAACTTCTACGAGAATGTCCCGATGTAAGGAAAATTTATATGCTGATGCGACAAAAGAAAGGAAAAACACCCAAGCAACGTTTGAATGAACTTTTTAACTTTCCAGTAAGTTATTGCAAATATTAATATTTTAAAATAAATTTGTTTTTCAGTGTTTTGATTACATTAAAGCAAACAATGCAGCTGTAATTGAAAAAGTGTGCGTTATAAATGGTGACTGTCAAAAACCCTTTTTGGATTTGAACTCTGAGAATGCAAGAGTTTTAAAAGAAGAAACTACTTGTGTTATTCACGCTGCAGCAAGTGTTAGGTTTGACCAAACACTAAAAGAAGCTAGTTATAACGTTCGTGCCACGAGAGATATTCTGGAATTGGCTAAAGAAATGGCAAATCTAAAATGTTTCATTTTTGTTTCAACGGCTTTCTCGAACTCACTTAATCCTCGCATAAAAGAAGATTTTTACGACCCGCCAATTGAAGCCGAAAAGTTACTGAATGTTGTAAATGCCCTTAAGGACGATGTACTCCAAAAACTCACTCCACAGTAAGTAAAAGCCAGCACCAATAGAGATATTTTTACAAGTTTTTAGACTTTTGGGACAATGGCCCAATACTTATATTTATACCAAATCAGTTTCCGAAAGTTTGATCAGATCCATCGATACATTTCCAACTGCTGTCATACGTCCGGGAATTAGTAATGTTGAAAATTTAGGCGACAAAATTGTAAATACTTCATTTTAGTACTCAGCTCGGTTAGGAAACCAATGCCAGGATGGATTGATAATTTTTATGGCCCTGTTGGTATAGCAACAGGTGCAGGTTTAGGTGTTTTGAAAACTTTCCACGCCAAACGTGATGCTGTGGCTTCCATGGTACCAGTTGATTATGTCGCTAATGCAGTTTTATCAATTATGTGGCAAATTGGTACTCAAAAACCAAGAATTCCCATAGTCTACAATTTTGCAGGCCACAAAAGAAACCAGATAACTTGGGGTGAGTGCGTGTTTGTGGTGTAATTAAATAGTACATTTTTTTGTATGCAGGCGAGTTTACAGAAAATTTAAGAAGACTTTATTGGAGTGTTACCCCTAAAAGTGCCATTTGGTACGTTTCGTTTGTATTGAGAGAAAAGAAAATTTCCTATAAACTGACAACCTTTTTTTCACATACCCTATTTGCATATATTGCCGATTTTGTTCTTTTATGCTTGGGAAAACGTACTCTGTAGGTCAGGTGTATCGAAATGGTTTAAAAATATGAAAAGTTTGGTTTCTAGAGCCGTCAAAAGCTATGCTCGATTACATAAAGTTCTTGACTTGATTGCATGGTTTTCAACAAAAACATGGCAATTTGACGATGGTAATGTCATAACATTGTGGAACGAAATGAGCGAAGAAGATAAAAAAATATATGAATTCAATATGGAGAAACTAAACTGGAATGAATACATACGTGACTGTGCCTATGGGATGAGACATTTTTTGCTGAAAGAGTCATTAGACACTATTCCTGAAGGCAAGAGAAAAATTAAAATTATGTTTGTGGCACATTACGCCATTATTGCATTATTCTGGTTCTTGATGTATAAGCTTATGTTGTTCATGTTAGGATTATTTTTCTAAAAATGTTAAAAAACTGTAGTTTTTTTATTTTTTTTATTGGTAACGTGATTGTATACAATTTTAATAAACATTTTTTTACTTCATGTACCATTTCTAAACATTAAAATGTTTATCCCTATGTCGCATATTCCAGTTAGTTGGTTAGTTCTATACTTGTATTAAATAATGTTCAACGTTTCAATAATTTAGTCTAAATCAATATCAGCAGTAATGTTTCAACACTATAAAAAGAGATAATGAACGACCTTTTGAAATATTTTGATATATTATGGTGACGATGGCAAAATGAAAAGTACAAGATATAGATAAATAACTATTTAATCTGTAGGAAATTCTCCTTTCATTTAAACCTGTCACAAAAATTTTCTTGAAAATCTGGTTACCCGGACGTGTTTTCCTGTACGGTTGATTTGTTGTTGCAAAGTGACAGCCGGTTCACCACTGCAGCATTTATCTGCCTTCAGAAAATTGTATTCTGCTTTGTTTCGCTTGATAAATTGTGCAGTAAATACAATCAGCTTTGCGTTCTTACAAGACAAGTACGCGATTATACTTATACTCAAAACGTTATTTGTTTCTCTCTGAAAACAGTTTAGTCTACGCTTTTATTTTTTCCGGTACCCTTTTCTGACTTTCCATCTTAAAAAATAAGTTTGTAGTCGTCGTTAAAAATAAGCAACGGCCGATAAAGTCAGAAATAAAACTCATGGATAACTAAAACCCTTTCATTTTTCTCTGTCAGTCTCAGTAATGTATTACTGAGAAAAATGATAAGCGTAGGTAACACCCCTTAAATATTTCACAACATAATAATACGTGAAAAATAGCGAAGAAAATGGAGAGTCGGGGTAGATTAAGCTTTAAAAATATGGCAAAGAGGTAAGAAAACATGTTGAGAAAAAATCGCTAACATTTGATACAAAACAGCCCCAAGAATACAAGAGCTTTTAAAAAAGTGACACAGGGAGTTAATCACTGTAAAAGCCCAATTCTGTGACCGCAACTCAAAATAACTCTTGGATGTGGACACATTTATCGCATTAAACATTCTGGATGTATTCAAAAAGCACACGAATACAAAATCACAAAACCCTTATGCATACTTACAAACATGTATAATGCAAAACCACGCGCAAGGGAAATATTGTTATCTTCGATATGCTGGCAAGTATTGACACCAAAGTTTTCCGCAAAGGCGGGAGGTGTAGAGAAAACGCCCAAGATCCCTCTTCACCTTTCCATCCTGAATTCCAAAAACTCGCTTTTCCATACGTTTACATTATTACTTTTAAATATAAATTCCCAAAGCATTGTTACTATTTAAAAATACACTGTTACTATACTTTTTGCGTGTTTATTATGTGGAAGTATAAATACATATTATATTGGTAACTAATAATCATGTGTTATTACCCACAAACATTGATGCATTTGGGATAATTTAATAAACAATCCAACATTTATTAATCTCATTATTTGTTATCTTTTTATTTCATACCCGGAACAAACTGTTGATAAAATAATACATTATAAAATAAGTTTAATAAAAATAGCATTTGTTAATGTTGTTATTATTATTAATACATAATGCATTAAGGTTTATTTAGTATTGACCTAAAAATTTTGAGTGGCTGGATGACATTTTTTTTACACTTATTTAAAAATTACAAAGTTTTTGTATTACACGTGAATATAAAAAAATACTGTCATCACAAATGTGTACAAGTTGAATATAAATAGTTTACATAAATAATCAAAAACTGAAGTAATTTTAAGTTACTGGACTTTTTGTAAATATTTCAAAAAAACGCTTTTAGGCTGAATAATTGATACCATTTTAAACACTAACTATCAATTTCGGTCGTAAAACTTTTGAGTATTATCAAGTTTTTGCGTGCTTTGCAGTAGATAAATTTTTATCTTGTAAGTATATATGCAAATTGGCGACATATTTGCAAATGCATATTCATGACGTAAAATTCTACTAAATTTTAAAATCTAGCAACTCAGACTTTATGTTTACTGTAGCAGAGCATATATGTACCTTAATTATACTGAATAATTGATGTCTCGATTTAAAATGTACCTTGCACCTAAACTCTATTAATATTTATAGCCAGCTTTCAGGTGCATCTTAAGCATAAGCTTTCAGATTCTAAAGAATACCAGACTTAGGCAAGTACTACAATACATTATTACAACCTTGCGTCTTATTAATTATACCTGCATTACAAGCAATACATCATCATTTAAGCCTTTCAGTGCATAATGGAGCAAGAAGCATAAGTCGTTCGCCTTTACACCTTATTTCTAATGAGAAATTTCTATCTACATTAAAAAAACTTGGCGTTGTGCTTTCTTTGCAATTTATCTTTTATGCTAATAAGACGTGTTTTGAAAAAACAGCGCCCTGGAAAGTAATATAAATTAGAAAAAAAAAACAAATTGTACAACAATCTTTTTGAAGCAAAAATTAAATTCTACGTAGGTTGGAGCAGAGTTATTGTCTACTTCAATCAAATGAAACTTCAATTTAAGTCTTATTTTTCAACATTCAGCAAAAATCCTTCTACCGCAAGTTGCATAATTATTAAATTTGTTTTGTACGAATAAACAAGTCTAAAAACATTTTCAATTCTCACCCGAACAATTTTATTCTTTTAGCAAGTTGAGTCATGATGTGTTCACTCAGTTTCATTACACTCCAAGCAAACATCTAAATAATCGATCGGGTTTAAACAATGTAAACGTTTCATACAGATTAAGGCATTATTGAATAATTAAATTTATTGTAAATTAAAAAAATAAATGGAATATAAGAAAAAATAAGACATTTTTGCTTGAAATTGTAAATAAATGAATTGAAATTACAATTGATTTCAACAACAGTTTGTATAAGCGTATTTAAACTTTTTTCCTAAATATTATACAACAAAATAAAAACCGTTCGGGTTTGAACAGAGGTAGTAAATCGCATGTTACATGCAGGTATTGCTGAGTTTCCTCTAGAGAACTATTCGAAATATCTTGTTGAATCATAAATGGGTTTTACTTGTTCTATGCATCTCATGCATTTTACTGTATGTTTACTACTATTTCACTGATAATGAGAAAAAATCTTCTTTAAAAATGCATGCAGTCACTCGTAACATTACTATTTACACTTATCATAATCATTATACACGATCCTCAAAATCAAAAACTAAACAAGGGCATAGGTATTAATAATGTGTTGCAAACTTTTGTAAACCACAAACGTTTTTGAACAATTATTTATAGTTTAAAAAAATTGTAGCACAAGACTGTTACGTGGTCATGCCCATAATCCCCTACAATACAATGAATTTGTAAGTTGTAAATACTGTAATACATAGTTCGGTGCAATTTGGAAAACTAATGACTGTGCACAAGCATTAAATGTTGAAGTTTATATAACAAATTTGTAGTATGAATTTAAAGGGATATTTGTCTTCCTTATTAATTTAACCTCACAGACTGCAGTTGACTTCCTATTGCTAATCGATAGGCCCAATTGACTTAATTATTGAAGTATGGAGTTAACGCGCTGAACTAGAATGAAAAGATAGTTTTCTGCAATTACTTCAACAAATACAGCACAGTTACAATAAGATTATGACTTTTTGTTTTTGTTAAAAGTTAGGAAACTATCTTACCTACTCCTCCACACACTATACTGACAACTGACGTTAATTTTCAAACGAACTGACGTTAACTACTCCCTATAACTCCCCCAAAACTCTTAACCCACTGCCGGTATGAAAGATTAACATTGCAAGCGACTTCGTAAATTAGCACAGCGTAGCGTTAACATTTTAAGAAATTAGTATATGAAATAAATTTATCCATAACTACATTAAAAAAACAAACAATAAGCTGGAAAACTGTTAGTCATTATATTTATTAAAATAAACCAATTCTCTTTCACAATGAAACAATACGTAAGACTGAATATCTTCAGCGTGTTTGAAAGTTAGATATTCCAAGAGGGATTAGGTTGTCACAATTAAAACCAAAGTAATACCAAAGTAATTCCTCGGGTAAATTCGCGACTTTACCTCTCAATTTCAAAATAAAACAAAATCAAATGGCACTAACGACGAGCTTAAACGTTTAAATCATCGGTAAAGTTTCGTTAATTCTTCTTTTCAGCTTAAGAACTGAAAAGCATTTTCGTGGTTTTTTCAAAATCTCCTTCATATCTCTCTTTTTTATTTCTTTCTTAATTTATCTTTGACTATTTAATGACAAACATAATTATACCAGAAGTTTTTCACCTGCTTACAACTAAACAGACAGTCAACTCGAAGCGAAAAGATCACTTTAAGCTGCAATTAAACCGAAAACCTTCTTTAACTTATTCGAATAAAGAGGGTTTTTAATCGCGTCGGCGTCGGTAAACCCAACATTTCACACATTACAGAATTATTCAACGGAAACTTTCTTTAATTTACAAGCTAAGGGTTATTTCTCGAAATTGTCGATACTCGGGTGCACAGACGTCTTGCATAAATTTTAATTCCAAAAGCAATTTATTCTGGAAAATCGTGTTATTGTCAGGCTTTCAATGATTTAAAGCGATAAAATCGGAGCTTTGCTACTTGTAAAACAACAACCATTATTACTTCGTTTATTTATCTAGCAGAATCTGATCTTCAAGTGTTTATGCTTTAGAAAAACACTTTAGAAATATTTTTGATTAGCATCAAGGCATATTTTGTACGAGACAATCGTGGATTTCAACCAAATTTGGAACGATAATGAAAAGTTGAGTTTTAAGAAGTTAAACCAATTCCAAGGGGAATTACATGTTCCTGAATGGTACAGTAAATTTGGGTGTAACTTTTGAGATATGGCTGAATTAATGAGAATTAGCAATCGAGGTGAAGCTAATGGCCTCAATCGCTAATTTTGTTTCGATCCTAAAAATGACTAAAGAGCTCGATTATGTTACATATTCATAAGCGATAAAAGTTAATAGCTCTAATTTTTAGGATAGTATGTATAAAATATTTTATGGGTAGTGCATTTTGGATCGATGAGTAGTAAATTTTCTGGTGTATGT